ATATGTATGTATGTAGACAATTATTTAATAATTATATTTTGTTTCCTTTCACTATTTTTTATTCTTTAACAAAGAAAAACTACAGCTGATCACTTTTTGTTCATTGTTGACCAGTCTTTTGTTACTGCTAATCCAATACCAAGCTGTTGAATTGTTTCCATTACACTATGCAACAATTATTTAATTACGATATAAATATTTTGAACTAAAATGGTACCAAAACTATTAAAATAAGCGAAATAATTTACATTTCTAGAGAATATTGAAATTTGGAATGTGAATCACTGTGGGTACATAAAGTTGATATAAGAGTGGATTTTCGTATTATATCCGTATAAGGAAAACCATGAATATTATGAAAGTAGAGATTGTAAGTAAGGATCGTAACAAGTCAAAATATTCTACAAAATTATTTGTCTTCAAATCTTCATAAAACAACCAGTAAAGAAAGTCCTAAACTCGGGAGTGGCCGAATTTATGATACCCTACACAACTTTGCTAATTTAGTAGAGCTCCGCATAACAATTAAAAGATTTTACGGGAGAATTTAATCATACCCCCTATGATTATAATTATAATTTAAAATTCAAAGGACTAAATATGCCGAAGCATTTGTCTTTTAAATTCTGACTTGTATTGTCCATTTGGTGCAAAATTAATTTGAAATCAGATAAAGATATATATGGGAGCTATATCCAAATCTGAACCGATCTCGATTAAATTTAGCAAATGTATTTCTGAGCTATATTTGATATATTACCCCGAATATTGTTGTTACTGAGTGCATATTACAGCTGCGGAGCACAAAAATAACAAATCGGATGAACAATATATATGGGAGCTATAGTTATTTCTAAACCGATTTCGATCAAATTTGGCATACTTATTTTCAGGCCTAATTTGGTTGTATGTGCAAAATTCCATACTATTCGGGCTGATATAACATGTTTGGTGCACAATAAAATACAAATCGGACAAAGATATATATAGGAGCTATATCTAAATTTTTACCGATTATCTCCAATTTCAATAGAGTTCGTCCTTGGGCCAAACAAATGATTTGTGCAAAATTTCATCTAGATCGGGTAATAAATGCGAATTGTGCTTTGTTCACAAAAATACATGGACGGACGGACGTACATGCATACATCGACTCAGAGTGTGATTCTATGCACCTTGTGGTAAATATCTCCTACGTTACTAAGAAGACTTAACAAAGAGATTGAAATCATCGCGGTTGATATCGCTTTCTCACCGCGGAAGTTTCATCCTTCGGGAAGAAATGAACCACGCCCGCGATATTTTTAAGCGTTACTAAATAGCGCACACAGCCTTACTTCTGATAATCACGAAAGTCACTTCTCGACAGTTATTGGAAGTAAAAAAAATTATTGTATCCTTTTATAATTTTTGTAGTTGGTACTTTTTATACCCTCCATTAAGTTCATCATTCCGTTTGTAACTCATCTAAATAATAATTTTAGACCTATATATTTATCAGCATAAAATTCTAAGACGATTTAGCCCTGTCCGTCCATCCGTCTGTCCGAATGTAATAATCACGCTAGAATCAGAACGAATTGCGATAGGAAGCTAAAATTTTGCACAGATCTGTCTTTTGTCTGCAGGCAGGTCAAGTTCGAAGGTGGACTATATCGGTCCACGATATCGGTATTTTGATAATTGTAGGAAAAAAATATTTATTGAAATTATCTGAAAAGCCACACAAGGAGTTCTCTCTGAGTACTTTACCCCCTGGAAGAGTATTGTCTATATAGGTCCACGATATCGTATATCCCCATAACACTCTCAATACCTGGTATTGTGGTGATTTTAGCTAAATTTTTCAATGGAATTGTCTGAAAATTTACACAATAAGTTCTTTTTAAGCACTTTACCCCTTGGAAGAGAATTGTCTTTATAGGTCCACGATATTGTATAGCCCCCATAAAACAGGACCCCCCTCGTTATTCGGTATTTTGTTGATGTTAGGAACTTTATTCACCGGAGTTGTTTCAAATTTCGTATTTAGAATTCGAAATGGGTACTACAGCCTATGAGAAAAAAAATACGTATGCAGGCCCACGTCTCGTATAGCCTCCATACAACGGTACCTCCCAATACTTGGTATTTTAATGATTTTAGCTACATTATTCGCCGGATTTTTTTTCAAGTTTCGTATTTGAATATTGTAATGGCTTATGACAAAAGTTGCCTATTCTGGTCCACGTCTTCGTATAGACCTCAAAGATAAGGGCTATATTCGGTTTTTTTTTTACAATTTCCAGCCCAGCCGAACTTACTGCTTTTTTACTTGTTTATTCTCTCAGCCTTGCGGTCTCATAGAAATAACAGTTTTAGATCCCAAGCCTCTTTGGACGAAGTGCATTTTGAAATCGATCTATCCATGTCCATATGCCTATCTGTGCCCACTATAAATCTCAAAGGGAGTACCCAATTGCATCCAAATTTTACATAGTCGAAATGTTTACCAAACATAGATATATTATCTAATAATATTGATCCACTCTTTCTAGTACCTCCTCCATAAAAGTTCAAAATTGTTGAAAAAATCTCACATTAGGCGATCGGACTATCCGACATTTCCACATCATAACATTTGTATAAGAATTAGGTCTGGTGCTAAAATAGATAATATTGGTCCACTCATTCTCACTAACTCCCACAAAGGGTAAACATTTTGAATAATACTAACTCCCTGAATATGGGAAATCAATTTCCGATTGTCTTAACTTTTTTCAAATTCTAATCGGTTTTCTCTTTCTGGTACCACCCCAAAAAAACTTCAAATTTTCGAAAAAAAAATTCACTTAAATAGTTGATTTTGATAATACTCAAAATGATACTGAACTTGTTAGAATTTGTATTTGAGTAATGATTAAATAGATTTTTGTTGGAAAAAAGGAGCCTATAGGGATATGGCTATTTGGAAGGGTGCAAAAAATTCTTGATGCAGGTGTCATCATTAGATCAGAAGAGCAAAACTACAAAAGGGTTTCGAATCCTCCGATCCATTTTTAATTTTATATATAGGCTCCTTCTATACATAGGTTTATTGGAGGGGTCCCTTCAATTACACTTATATTAAATATCTTATGTCGGAAGGATTTTTATCCTCGAAGAAAGCAAAATACAAATTTTCAGTAATCTATCTGGAAAATATTAACAAGACCCTCGAAATAACTAAAAATCCGGGCTATAACAAAACGTGGACCTACGTAGTCTGCAAGGAATGTTTCTTTATATTAAGAAAGAGACTCACAATCGGAGATTTTGGCCCAGATAAAAAAGGTATAAAACGTATAAACGATCAAAAACGTTAACCTATAATTTTAACTTTCAATATACAATTTTGAATATTATTTTTATAAAAAAAAACTATTATACCTAGATATATAGTTCATTTGAAAACTCATAGTGAAATTTGGTGTAGATTTTTTCCTCTTTTGATTATTTCCGTCTAAAATGTAATTTTATGTTACTTTCATGAATCAACTCAAAAAAAAAAAAAAAAAGACAGAAGAAAAATGAAAATAAGAAATATTTGCACAATTTTGTCTGCAACAGTTAAACACATTTATGATGGAAATATAGATTGCGGTGACTTTTTGAAAATTATATAAGGAAAAGTTTTGTCTTTGGCGTCATCCTTCTAAAATCATGTTTTGGTAATCCTAGCACTTAGGTAAGATTTATAGTCATGATGTATTCTGAGACCCATCGTAGATTTTGATAACAAATAATGTTGTAGTATATTTTCACATGTAAGGATCTCGTTTAAAGGATTTGGTTAACCATTTTATGAAAACAAACACCAAAAATACTCGTCCGCCATCTCGCTTAATGGTTAAAGTTTTCCACCAAAATAATCCTCGTATCCCTATTGTAATATTGTCAAAGACATAGGAAACGTAGGGATTTCAAAAAAAAAACGAGTAAAAAAGCAGTTTAGTATGACCAGCCCGAACTTTTAATACCCTCCACCATTTGGAAGAAACTTTAAAAATTTCAACAAATTCCGAAAAATACCATTTAAATTATGACCTTTATAAGGGGGCTATACGAAGACGTGGACCTGCATTAGTATTTTTTTGTCATATGCTGTAGTACACCTTAAGATCTTTAAAGTCGGAATTTCAAACAATTCCGATGAATACTGTCGCTAAAATCATAAAAATACCAAATATCGGGAGGTACCGTTATATGAGTGCTATCGAAGACATGGATCTGCATACGAAATTTTTAGACATAGGCTGTACTACCCATTTTAAATTTGGAATACGAAATTTGAAACAATTCGGGTAAATGAGGTCGCTAAAATCATAAAAATACCGAATATCGGGAGGTACTGTTATATGGGGAATATACGAAAACGTGGAGTGACATGACCCATTTACCTGCCTACTGGCAAAATACACATATGTTCAAAATTTTAGCCTTTTATCTCAATTCGTTCAAAAGATAGCTTGCAACAGACACACGTCTGTCAGACAGACGGAAGTCATTAATTCGCCTTAGAATTTTACGCTGATCTAGAATACATAAACTTTTTAGGGCCTATCATGAATATTTCGAGGTGCTACAAACGGAATGACAAAGCTAATATACCCTCCATAGAAAGGTAGAGGGTATAAAAATGTGGAAGAGGAGGGAACTTTCTCTCTATTTAATTTACTTTGCTATGTAAACTTTCAAAACGCCTATACATATGTCCTCTATTTTTAGCTATATTTTCATTATCTTTACTTTTATTTTTCACATAATTATTTTTTTATGTTGCACTGTGTAATCGATTACACCTGTCATTTGCAATACTTTACAACACTGAGTGGCCGCTCAATGCCTGTCAAACAAAAGAGCGCATAAACCGTTAACGGTACTTTAAGATCAATGCAGAAAAATACCCTACATTGTTAAGAGGAAGCTGGCCTCTGCAATAATTAATTTTATATTTTTTGTTTTATCTTTTTTTTTACCAGATTAACTTTTATCGCAAAACTTCAGTATTAAGAAGGCTGGCTCCTCAAAAAAAACTAAATTACTTTTAATAAATTTAGTATAATATTAAAAGAAACAAATAATTATTGCTACCTGAGAAACTACTGTGATACACAACACCGAATCAACTAGAGAATAAAACAAAATGGGCATACCAATGGAATCCACCACCAAGAGAGCCGATCTCAATGAAACACAAGATGTGGAGGCCACATCGAAATCGAAACACAAAACAAGGTAAGATCAAGGCCACAACTAGAAAATCCATATCATTTTCTTTTAACAAATTGTCTTTGTTGTTGTTGTTACAGTGTCTTTGAAGCAGTCGCCCATTTATTTAAGGGCAGTGTCGGAGCCGGTCTCTTTGCCATGGGTGATTGCTACAAAAATGGTGGCCTCATTGGTGCCACAATTTTAATGCCCATCATTGCTGTGATCTGTGTCCATTGCGAACAAATGTTGATCAAAGGTTCCATGTTGGCCGTGGAACGCAACAAATCGGCCACATTCTATGATTATCCCGAAACCGTTGAGAAATGTTTTGAAGCCGGTCCGAAACCATTTCGCCGTCTTGCTAAGCTAATGAAATTCATTGTGGAAATGTTTTTGTGTGTCACTCAATTTGGATTTTGTTCGATTTATTTTGTTTTCATCACCGAGAATTTGCATCAGGTAAGGACCGAACTACCATGAAAATATTCCAAATTAAAAAGTTCAAAAGTTCATCACTTACTTTCTATGGATCGGCCCTCGTCAGGGGTTTTCTATGGTAAACCCTCAGGCTCAGTGAGAGATGAGGCCTCAAGTTTTTCTACAGAAAAAGTTCTCACTGAGCCTGAGGTTTTTCGATAGAAAAAGTTCAGACCTCAGTTCTCACCGTGGTTGAGATTTTTCGATAGGAAAATTTCAGGCCTCCGGTCTCACTGAGGCTGAGATTTTTCGATAGAAAAAGTTCAGGCCTCCGGTCTCACTGAGGCTGAGATTTTTCAATAGAAAAAGTTTAGGCCTCCGGTCTCACTGAAGCTGAGATTTTTCCATAGAAAAAGTTCAGGCCTCCGGTCTCACTGAGGCTGAGATTTTTCCATAGAAAAAGTTCAGGCCTCCGGTCTCACTGAGGCTGAGATTTTTCAATAGAAAAAGTTCAGGCCTCCGGTCTCACTGAAGCTGAGATTTTTTCCATAGAAAAAGTTCAGGCCTCCGGTCTCACTGAGGCTGAGATTTTTCCATAGAAAAAGTTCAGGCCTCACTTCTCACTGAGCCTGAGATTTTTCGATAGAAAAAGTTCAGGCCTCCGTTCCACTGAGGCTGAGATTTTTTCACTAGAAAAAGTTTAGGCCTCCGATGTCACTGAACCTGAGATTTTTCGATAGAAAAAGTTCAGGCCACCGGTCTCACTGAGGCTGAGATTTTTCGATAGAAAAAATTCAGGCCCCCGGTCTCACTGAGGCTGAGATTTTTCAATAGAAAAAGTTCAGTCCTCCGTTCTCACTGAGGCTGAGATTTTTCGATAGAAAATGTTCAGGCCTTAGTTCTCACTGAGGCTGAGATTTTTCGATAGAAAAAGTTCGGGCCTCGATTCTCACCAGAGAGAAATTTTTCTGTGACTGAAATTTTTTCTAAGAAAATCTAAAATTGTACTCCTTTTTACAGATCCTCCAAAGCTATGGCATTGACATAAGCTTGAGCCTAACAATGTTGATCTGCCTTCTGCCGGCCATGATACCATCCTTGATGACCAATTTGAAATATATTTCACCTGTCTCGGCATTTGCCAGTTTTGCCCTGCTCTTTGGTTTGGTGGCCACCTTGTGTTTGGCCTTCTTGGATGGACCAATGCCATCGATCTCGGAAAGAAATCTATTTAAATTTGGACCTGAATTGTCGTTGTTTTTCGGCACGGCCCTGTTCTCGTTCGAGGGTATCGCCTTGATCTTGCCCATACGCAATTCAATGAAAGAACCCAAGAAATTCAATCAACGTTTTGGTGTTTTGAATATTTCAATGCTGATCATTACGTTGCTGTTTACCTTTACCGGATTTGTGAGCTACACGAAATGGGGTGAAAATGTGGAAGGTAGCATCACCTTGAATTTGAATCCAGATGATAAGTGAGTTGGAAGGAGAATTGGGCTTTGAAATTTTCGAAATTGAAAATTAATTTCTCTTTTTTTAGATTGTCGCAAGCCGTAAAAATTGCTGCCGCCTTGGGTGTCTTCTTTGGCTATCCCATACAATTCTTTGTTATGATGAAAATCATATGGCCCCCAGTTAAGCAGAATATGGCCGTGGCCCAGAGACGTCCCATAACGGTGCAGGTTATGTTCCGTTTTATTATGGTCTTGTTGACATGTAAGTAGCCTTAAAGATGTCCTAAAAATGGGAAGGAGTGATGATGATTTCCAATTTTCTATTTTAGTTGGCGTGGCCCTTTTGGTACCCAAATTGCATTTGTTTATCTCTTTGATTGGTGCCCTTTGTTCCACCTCCCTGGCCTTTGTATTCCCCGTATTCATTGACTTCGTGGTAAGAGCTCAAACCCCCAAGAATTTGGGTACCTGGGTCTATTTGAAAAACATGATCATCCTGATAATTGCCCTGTTGGGTATCATTACCGGAACCTATGAAAGTATTCATGAAATTGTCAAGGCATTCTATGAAGATTAATTTCATACCCATCCAAAGATCAAGAGTGGAGCGAGAGAGGCGTCATTTCAAACCAATATTCCATCATTCGTATTACTATAAATAAAAAAATGTTAATATCTCTATGTAAAATTGTATATGTTAGTGTAATCTAGTTGTAAATAGTGTTTAAGTGCAAAAACAAATTCTTTTACTTCTTTGTTTAGAACAACTTGTGTTACAAACTTATATTTTTTCCTGTTCTTCAAAAAACAGCAACAACAAACAAAATACTTCTTTTAAATCTCACATACTTATGTTATTGTTATTATTATATGTATTATTGTTAATTATATTCTAAGATTTATGTAAATTTCTTTGTAAAGCAAAATAATAAAAAATGAAACTACTTGCCATAGCAAAAAATATAAAAAAATCAAATTATTTGTTTTGTAATTGAATAAGGAACCGCATTTGCAATGGCAACTCAGAGTGGACCAAGTCATTCAAAAATTCCGAACACACAGACAACCTGTTTTTTGCAACTTACTTCATGGTACAAGTTCTAGTTTGAGTTCAATTGAGACGTAATTGAAAAAAAAAAAAACGAAACAAGTAAAAACCTGAGTGTTCGGCCAGGCCGAACCTTGAATACCCTTCACCATTTGTAACGAATTTGGCAATTTTCGAAAAAAAAAAGAAATGCGTTACAAATTCTGTATACGACGACGTGGATCTGCATAAGCAGCTTTTGTTCTATGTTATAACAATATACAAACTTGAAAATAAATCGGTAAATAATCTAGCTAAAATCATGAAAAAACCGAATATAGGGAGGTACCATTGTACTATAAAGTGGACCTGCAGAAACAATTTTTTGTCGTAGACTGTAGTATCCATTCCGAACTTCAAATACCAATTTTGAAACAATTCCGGTGAAAATCATCGCTAAAATCATCAAAATACCGAATATAGGGAGATACCATTATATGAGGGCTAAATCAAAACGTGGACCTGCACAGACAATTTTCTGTCATAGGCTGCGGTATCCATTACCAACTTCAAATACCAAAATCCGGTTAATAATGTCGCTAAAATCATCAAAATACCGAATATAGGGAGGCACCATTATATGAGGGCTAAACCAAAACGTGGACATGTAGAGACAATTCTCTGTCATAGGCTGTAGTATCTATTCGAAGTTCAAATACCAAATTTGAAACAATTCCGTGGAATAATGTCGCTAAAATCATCAAAATACAGAATATCGGGAGGTACCATTATATAAGGGCTATACGAAGACGTGAACCTGCATAGACAAATTTTCTGTCATAGGCTGTAGTATCCATTACGAACTTCAAATACCAAATTTGAAACAATTTCTGTGAATAATGTCGCTTAAATCATCAAAATACCGAAAATAGGGAAGTACAATTACATGTGGGCTATACCAAAACGTGGACCTATATGGCCCATTTTCAATACCAAAAGTCCTGCAGACATAATATACATTTGAGTAAAGTTCTATAAACCTACTTCATACCGTTTGGAAGCTTTAGTGATTTCCACAGTCGGGCGGACTTCGCTAAATCGACATAGAATTTTATGCTAAAAATAAATATCCTAAAATGAATGTTTCGAGTTGTTACAAACGGAATGGCCAATTTAATATACCCTACATACTATGGTGGAGGGTATAATAACTATTTCTGTGTGTGTTGGTGGCCTTGAAACAATAGAGCATCGCAAGAAAAGGTGAATAGTTGAGATTTCATTTTCAGTGCAAAGGGAATTTTCCTTTAAACAAGTTAAAAAGTATCAGTCGATTTTGCCGACAGATGTATACCCTCAGTCAATGTTCGATTATTTAAATATATTTTGAATTTTTTTATGATTATTCAATTTGTTGACCCTCCACAGGGTGAGATGAAAAATCTGCAAACAACTTCAGACTGCTGTCATTTCTAAGCCACTCGTCTGACAATTAAAATTATTCCAGTGACAGCCCATTATATTGTTTACAAGCGTACAAAAGCATTCTGATGAGAATTTTCCAGAAAAAAAGTTATTCGTGAATGTTCACCTTCGGTTGACCACCAGAACTCAAGCGCCGGCCATGGTGATGGTGTGGGTCGCCATAACAGCCGATGGTCGCTCTCCGCTCGTATTAATCGGCCGTGGCATCAGAATAAATAACGAATATTATCGCGAAAATATTCTGGAGGGTGTATTAAAGCCTTGGGCACGCAAACATTTTGACCGTCGCTCTAGGCACGCACCACCTAAGAATGGTTACAAAATGAGGTTCCTCGCTTTATTTCCAGCTCACAATGGCCACCTAAATCTCCGGATACCAATCCGTTGGACTATTCTTTCTGGACTATTTTGGAAAGCAAGCTTGGCACAAAAAGATACCAAAATGTCGATCAACTCAAGCAAGCGCTTCGCCGGGAATGGGCCAAAATACCGTAGAGCAACATTCGGGCAGCGTGTGATGGTTTCATTGGCCGTTTGAAGGCCATAATTCGTATCAAAGGTGGCCAATTCGAACAAATCTAAACTTTTTATGGAGCTAGACTTTGTTGCAGTTTTTTTATCTCACCCTGTATAAATATGATATAAATATTGGGACGTGCCAGGTTTGGACTACATTCAGCTACTTCCTTCACTTTAATGGTATGGGCAAAATTACAAGAAAATCAAACAATTATGTCCAATTTTATTCCAAATCATTAAATTTCATATATTCATCTCAAGTCTCTGGTTGAGATAAATATTTAGATATAGGAAGTTGTAAAAAATCGCTGACTTGTTTCGCAAGTTATGACAGATAAAAGTATTGGAAATTGTGACCCTTTGTAGGTGAGGTGCCATAAGGGATTCCCAGATATATATCATCCTCATAACACGTCTTGTAAAATAGTTTATATGTGTGAAATTTGAAGAGAATTGGATTCGCTTTCTTTGAGGGTTTTGTTTTTCAAAATCTTTAACCCTTTGTGGTGGAGGTACCAGCAGGAATGGTTCGATCACTACCATATTTATACCACACCATATTTGTTGATGGAAATATTGAGATATACCAAATCTGAATGGATTCGGATCTTTATTTCCCGTTTTATGAGCTTAATGGATATTCAAAAATGTTGACCCTTTATGGGGGAGGTACCAGAATGGGTGGACCGATATATCACATCTTCACACCAGACCTTGGGTTAATAAAAATAGGGTGATGTGTTTAATTTGAAGACAATTTACATCACATTTTATAAGAGTTATAATTATTCAAAATGCTGACCCTTTGTGGGGGAGGTACTATATGAAGTGGGCCGATATTGCCCATCTTCACAGCAGATATTGTGTTGGTAGAAGTAAGGAAATGTGTTAAATGTGAAGAAAATCGGATGCTTATTTCGAATTTTATAATCGTTTCGGTTATTCAAAATTTTGACCCTTTGTGGGGGAGGTACTTAATGGAGTGGACCGATATTGTCCATTTTTGCACCTTACGTAGCACTGATCGAAATATTAGGTTTTGTGAAGTTGGAGCAAAATCGAATCATCCTTTCTCTTTCTGTGGAGTAAAATATATATTTTTTTAATTTCGAACTTGATCTAACTTTCACAATAATATTACGATGTACCAAGTATGGACGAGTTATCGTGCGCACCAGCCAGACAGACGGACGGACATTTCTAGATAGGGTCTAAAACCGTTTTTTGATAAGGCACTTTTTGGCCATATCGAATGGTATATACTCTCTAGCCATATGGGTGAGGGTATAAAAATTGATGTTTACACAGAAACCCGATGTATGAAGTTCCAATTTTTCGGTTTGCAACGGATATGTATCCTCAGACTAGATAATTTATATAAATACTAGCAAGTTCCCCCTATTTCGTCAGTAAAAAGTCCACCTTAAAATTCAAGATGGATTCCGACAGTTTTTGTTAGGCGTCAATATGCACAATTTAATCGGTTTGAAATAATTTATAATCAAAACTTTATACATCGTACAAAATGTTCATCCTCTCAAATTTTAAAAATTATTTAAGGTTTCCCTCTTTCGAAAAGATTAAAGGAATTTTTTTACCTTTTACACCAAGAAAACTTCCAAATCTATCACTTTGAAATTTACTGAGGAGGATATTAGTAAAACCATTGCACAATGGACCCACAACCAGTTTTTCTGTCTAAAACTATTTCAACGTCTTAATATGTAAACCGTAGAAACCAACAGTAACCTCAATATTAAATTTAAGGATTTCAGCCCTACAATTTTTCCTATTAACAAATCCAGTACCATTTAGTACAATTTGAGTACCCATATCCATATCCTCTCAACCACAGTGACATCCATATAAAATTTCATGATGTCAGCACAGAGACCTCAATATCAAATTTAAGTCCAAACCACCCACAAACATCAAACACAGACATCATCAGTAATCTAAATAATCTAATGACCAAATGCTCAGTGTTGGTCACCTCCATGTGGGGATGCTGTCACCGAGATAACATAAGTTGTTGCTGACTATACAATTTCCCCGATACATCCGTTAGGACTTCGGATGCAATCGTGAAGACAAAGACCTATCTGAGATGACAGGGAAATAGTGTATCAACGGGTGGTCTCCGAAGTTATAAAGGACTATTAATGTAATAAAAGCTTAAACCAACATTCTGTTCCCATTAACTTTCCATCAGGGTATAATAACGTCTTCAATTTTCACAAAAAACGTATTGTGCATGTTACCATCAACTATATCTAATTTCCATATTTTTTTAATTCGGTTCTGTAAAAGTATTTTTTTTTCTAAAGCCCAGTAGTTTTTGAGAAAACAAAATTGAATCTACCAATCATTTCAAATATCGGAGAATATATAGTATTTGCTTTGCATGACGGTCCCACGTTTAAAGCAACTATTATATCCAACGTTTGTTTCTTGTTCTGGACTCCATGCACTTTATATGTGATGTATAAGTTGTAGAAATGTTGACCCTTTTTTAGAAGGGATGGACAGATATGAACCGACTTTACGCAAGATTTATCTATCTATATTAGGTAAATCGGAAACAGATTTCACATTTTACGAGCATTTTTATCTAATACGTTGACCTTTTGTAGGGGAGGAACAATAAGGGGTCATCCAATATAGTAAATTTTTTGCACCTGACCTAAGTTTGATTTAATTGAAGCTTGTGCCGTCGTTAAGCTTTATTGGGTACTCCCTTCGCTTTATTGATACATTAATATCGAATATTTTGAACTCTAGATTTAAGTTTGCTATTACCAAATGAAGCTAAAGTCGGCTCCAGTCGAATAGAAGAATTGACAATTGGGCCCAACTCTAAATACCCTGAAACGGATTTGGTCCAAAGACACATTTGACTATCAAATGATATATACTGATTGTACACTTCGACTAGTTTAACCCATTCAATCTTATGTATTTACTAAAGATTTCATATAGGAATCAAAGGATCTGTCATTCAAATATGATGGGAATATATATTTCAAATATTACCTGTTAGTGATCCCATTTAATTACTTGAGGATTCGTATCTTGCTATTTGAAATTAATTGTTGATTGAAGATTTTTATAAAAAGATCTTGATAATCCTTTGAGTTGTTATGACTTGATTGTTGGTAAAACTTGCATTTCTTAACATTTAGAGCCAAAAGCAGATTTCTTGAGTTTTAAATTATCCCACAAAAAATAATTATCCTTAAAATGATTGTTGATTGGTGATATTTTTGCGGAATAAACCTGTGTTTCACATACATCATCTTGAAAAATTTTCGAGCCATAAGAAGATATCTTGAGTTTTTACTTTTTCCTATTATATATAGTACTCAATTCAATGAATGTTGATTGAAGGTAGTTATGAGATCTTGATAATCCGTTAAGTTGTTAAAATATATTCCGCAAAATTTGTGCTTCATAGATATATCCTTGGCAAATTTTCGAGTCAAAAACATATTTCTTGTTTATTCTAATTACCCCACACCGTAATCAGTGTAGTAATGTATATCTTTAAATTCCATATTTACAACCCAGAAGTCTCATATTTCATAATTCTAAACAATATCCTTTATCCAATTGGTACGTATTTACACTTAGCTTATGCCACAGTCACTTTATTTGTTTTCTTATCCTCTATTTTTTTCATTTTCTTTTCTTTTTTCTTAATAAATTCACTTTTATCCAAATTATTTTGGAAGAATGTCGTCTCCTTGCGGGCCTGTGACACCTCGGCCATAAGACGTTGTTTGTGCACAGCCTGTTCGTAGTTCATGCGTTCGGTGAGATGACACCATTTGAAACGTGGCAGGTATTTCATGCTCCAAATATAATCGTAGAATTGTGACTTTTTGCGTGAAGATATTTGTTTATTATTCAGCAGGGGAACAATTTGTTTGGCGACTCGCTTCGATTCAAACTCCACCCAACCTTCGGTGAAGTGGCGGGCAAAAGGTTTGCGTTTTTTCTTCTTCTTTTTGTCATCACCTAAAAGGAATCCAAGTAATTAATTAAAATTCCAAAATCATTCTTTTGCTGACTTACTTCCTGGCAGCTTTTCTGGCTGCAGATATACCCTGCCAATTTTTCCATATTCACCCAAAATTTCCCGTATCCGTGTAACGTTCATATGCTTGGGTATATTTGAAATGTAAATAATGCCTTTTTTACGTTTTTTCTTTGGTTGATCTTCTCCGGGACGGAAATTGGCCAGATCCATATCATCATCGTCGTCGTCACCATCCTCTGCAGGACTTTCAATGGCCAAACCATTACCATCGTCTTCATGCTCATCATTGGATACATCCTGGTGGTTGTCAGTTCTTAATGGGGTTTCTTCGTTTTCCTCGTCCTCATCTTCAGCTGACATTTCCACATCTTCGTTTACAACTTTTGCCGGAATTTTGGGAGATTTTTTAATTTTCTTTTGTTTCTTTGGTTTTATTGACATGTTCTTGGTGTATGTATAGTTCACTAATTAAAATTTATTTATTATAATTTATTTGGGCGCAAAAATAAAACGCTTCTCTGTTGTTTTGGTAGGGAATCAAAACAAATGCACGTGAAGGGACGAAAAGTCAATGAATGTAAGTTGTGGTTGGCAACGCGAAATCATAAAGAATAACAAAGAGACGATAGTCAAGAAAGAGACAGATATGCACCTATCGATTGCATGCAAAGGGAATTGATAGCATTGTTACATATGTTTTAAGGGAGTATGCCAACGGAATTGGTTGCCTGCTTTGAGGGCATGTAAACTGGATTGATAGCCCTTCTTGTATTTTTGCAATATTTTTCATAGCAAACGCAAATTTTGGAATTAAATGCTTTTTGCACTTCACTTTTGAGACAGTTGTACTTTTTTTCTTATATTAATAATAGTTTCATCAACACTATTAAATAATAATCCTGCTGACCTGATCTATTCTTTAAATATGATAATTTAAAATGTCCTGCCTGTCCTTTACTTATTTTCACTTTTTAAATGACCTTAAAACCGAAAAATAAATGATGGCCGAACTTTTTATACCCTCTAACATAAATCATTTACAATCAAAGGTATCGTAATTCAAATTCGAACAAGAGGTGGGATAATGTAATTAAAATCTTTACAAATTGAGCGGTACCGGTATAGGTAAGCTGTACCAAAGGTATAGCCTGCATAAACATTTTTCTGCTACTAGAGCTGTTATCTATTGCGGGTTTCAAATACAGATTTTGGAAAATTACTGTAGAATAATCTGGATAAATTCATCAAAATACCTGATATCGGAAGGAATCGTTATATGGTTGACTTATGAAAACGTAGAACATACATAGATAGTGTTCTGTCACTAGAGTTAGAACCCATTATGAACTACAAATACCGATAATTCTATAGAAAATGTGGCTACCAAATATTTGTGGGCCCATAGGAAATCATGGACTTAAATAAAAAATGAGAAAAATGAGGCTAACAGAATACCTTATATCTGGAGGTACGGATATTAGCCATGTTGATTTATTTAGATTTCTGGACGATGACGTTTACTCAGAGTTCTTTATTTTACGACTGGTATACAACAAAAGATATCTTGTATAAGAGTAAAGGTTTGAGAAGATGCCATGTCAAAGTTCAGTAATTTGAGTTATACCTGCTTAAGATACAAAAATGATTCAGATCTACTGTCTGTCACTCTCTTGTATAAAAAAGAAGTGCAATTGCTTATCTTTTTAAGCATCGAACGCGAAAAAGAAAATTTTTCCACCAACGGCAAAAATGTTCCATAGTGTGTATGCTACTTTAGACATAAACATGAGACATCATTTTATGGTGGATTAGTATACAGGTATAAGATGAATATTACTTTTGTTTCTTATCTTTATCTTATTGCACTAATTCTCCGTTAAATAAAAATATATGAAACTGTAAAAAGACTATTCGATTTACTTGAATAAACCTTTAAAAATGATAAACTTGCATTCCATTAATAGAGTCTGTTCTTAGACCTACACATCTCTATTTCATTGTCGACTTACATATCCCTAACCCTACGAATGCGAGCTCGGCTTATTTATCCCTAATTCATTCGAGTTGTTGACATGAACGTGTGAAGTGAAACGATGCTCGGGCGCGCGCATTCCTAAAAAAATGTAGTTTACAATCAGAAGAAGAAGCCGTTAACAAAAAACTTGTATTTTTTGTTACCAATAAAAAAGTAAAGAAAATAAATTGTGGCAAAAGCGGAATACAAATAAATAAAAGTATTAAAAAAGCCGTTGCGGGAATTCGGTGATTGTTTTTCTTTTAATCGTGCGAAGTTAATTAAAGCCAACAACGAATTATTATTACCTTACCTTACCAATAAAGTTAAGTCAAAGAATTTACAGCAACAACAACAACGACTTCACCACAAGACGAGAAGAAGAAGCAGACAAACAACAAATAAAAGTGCAAAAAACAAGTTTTTGTATGTAGTTAGTTTGATTTTCGATCAGCGAGCGAGTGTGTGGTGTATGAATACGAAAATACGACCAATAACAGAAAAAAAAAAGTAGAAATAAAAGAAAGAATACGGAGTTAATAGAAGGAAATGAAAAATAAGTTAATTTTGAAACATTGATAATTTTTTACGTTAAAAAAAGAATATTCCCCCGAAAAGAAACGTATATATGTGAGAATAAAGTGGTCATACCTTGTGTATTACAGATTTAAACAGAAAGTAAAATATATTTAAAAGAATAATTACGAAAGAAAGATTATCCAAAATCCATTAATTTCTTTGCAATTTAAAACAAGTTAAACAAATTCTTTTACCTTTTGTTGTTTATTATTCCTTTTTTACCTCTCGCTCTCATAAAAAAGATATTCTTATCTTGTACTCTCCGTGTGTGTTTGTGTAGTGTACTCTTTCTAACAAGTGTTGAAGTGTATGCAAAAAGGAAGTTTGCTTAACATTAACTCTCCTTTAGTCACTCTCTGACTTGTTTTCTTAACGTCGTCTCTCGATCGTATTGAAAATTGATCAAGTGTCCTTAAATAAAAACAAAAACAATCGTTAACAGAGACGTCTGCATCGCTTTTTCTACCAACAACACCAACAGCAATAACGACCCAGCACAACACAAGGGCCATCCAGCCAAACGCAACCATTGTCGCCGACATTCTTTTGTATTGCTGCCGTTGTCCGTCGTGTGTTCTTAACTAACATCCCTCTCTTGGCATTGTTGTTGTTATTATTATTACTGGTATTATTATTGTGTGTCAAACCGACAAGAGGGCCACCAAGCAGCAGCAGCAGCGCGGCATACAACAATAACAACTACTACGTTACGAGTGGTAAAACAACTACACACATTTCTTTGGTTCTCTGTGTATGCGTGTGTGTGTGTGTCTGTTAACAATGCAGCTGCTTTTTTTACGTTTGCATTTTTCTTGTTGTAATAAAATTAACGTAGCCAAACATCGGGAGAGTATGCAATACTATGAGTAGAATGTTGATGAGTAAGAGAATTACACAAATGTAACAACAAAAATAATAACAGTCATCATCAACATCAGCGTAACTAAACAAACCACGAGAAAACCAACAACAACAGCAACAACGAACCCCACTAACTGACTGATTTGCTCAGTAGAAACGAAATTCTCATTAAAAAATAACTAATCATCAAAATAAAATAAAAAAAAGTGAAGAGGAAAAAAATATTATTGTGTGGAAAGAAATTAAATAAAATCTACAAAATACAAAAAAGGAAATTCAAGTGCATTAAAAACGAAGTTTTAAACAAAAATAACAGAAAAAAATAAGTGTAACTCTCTCTCACGCCTCACAAAAGGAATTAGAGGAGTTTAAATTTTTGTAATCAACTGAATTTTTGAATCACAAATTTCAAATTCATCATCATCATCATGAAAGTAACCGTCTGTTTTGGTGACACACGCATTCTCGTCCCTTGTGGCGATGGCAATCTTCTGGTTAAGGATTTAATTCACGAAGCAACGAGACGCTATAAAAAAGCAGCAGGAAAGGTAAGCCAATAATATCGTTATTGTTGTTCTTGCTTTTGTTTGTCCGTGATTTATTGGGTGTTTAATTTTACGATGAAATCGTTTTATGACCGATATATTTTTTTTTTATTTTTGTGAGAAAAAAATGTGGGAGAAATTAATTTCTTAAAAAAAAAAAAAAACATAGAATGTTGAAAGGATATTTTCCTTTGACTCTATTTTAGTAGAAATTCGTATAATAAAACATTATGTTGCCTTTTGGGAAGGTTAAATAGTCATGTGGACTTCCAAAATGGGACATTTTCCACTTTCGAGTTTTATAAAAAAATCGGTAATTGTGATATAACTTCCGAAACGCTGTATATAGCTCCACGTGGTGGGTAGGTATTTTCATTAGCTTTCAAATGATTCTTATATTGTTTATATCGGCTTAATAGATCCATGCCTTGGACCTGGGTTTTCAAATATCCGGCTGTCAGTCCCCCAAGAAAAAAATACTTTCCGGGATATAAATACATACCTTTATAACAAATCCCAGATTTAAGGAAAATAGAGTTAAGGAAAATAGATTTTTGAACCTGAACAAACCCCGAACATTCAGGGCAATAGTGTCCTGGGTATAAATACGTTCCTCTGGAAAAATCCCAGAGTTTTTACTAAACTAAAGCTAAGCAACGAAAAAAGTGCGGTAGCGAACAGACCCCCATAGAAAAAATTGTTTTTTCGGGATCAGTATGAATTCCTGGAAATTTAATGCAATGGCTTAACTCTAGTTTAGTAAAAAAGCTCGAATTTTTTTAAAATTTGTCTAGAGGTAGGTATTCATATATTGAATCCGGAAAAGTCATTTTTTCATGGGGCCTCTTCGCTAACCTCATTTTTTTGCTTAACTTTAGTTTAGTTAAATCTCTGGGATTCTCTCCAGAGGTATGTATTTATACCCGGGACACCATTACCCTGAATCTCCGGATTCAACACTCGGACCGAATCGGTTTGTACAAGCTTAAATATCCACATAGCTGGAGCCAGGAAAGATAATAGCACATATTGTAGCATTTTTGGAAAGGTAATCGTGTCAACTATAATTTGAAGTACTTTTTGGGGAGTAGCTTTTCGACTTTGGGGGATATTATAAAAAAAATCAGGTCCGAAAAATCCAAAATGTAGATATAACTCCCGAATTGTTTTAAATAACCCCGTAATGTGACCACATATGATACTAACCCGGGTCTTGTACCCGGACTTTGTGGTCAAATGTCCGAGTATTCAAGTCCGCTCCCCTGAAAAAAAAAACACCTTCAGGGTACAAATACCTCTGGAAATTTTTTGAAAAAAATCGAGAGTTTTTACCAAACTAGAGTTGCCTCCCACCCTTAAATTTAAGATTCGTTCCAATAGCTCGTGCTACACTTTTTATTATTCGAAATGCCCAACAAAGATCTCAATATTAAATTTGAGGGTTCCAGCTCTATCCCTTCTCCCAATACGAAATTTAGTACCATTTAGCACTTTTTGTACAAATATAAGACACATTTTTAAATTACCAACAAATCTCAACCTCAGATACCAATAGGAACATCCTCA